AAACATATTTTCTTGGACCTTATTTCTGAGATGTTTTAAAGTTATTTTGGCCATGTACAAACATTCTAGTCGCACTCTTGATAAGCACAACCAATACAAGACAAAATAGAAGACATTTTTTATTAAAAAAAATTTTTTTTGAGAGGTTTATTAAATTAGTTTTAAACAAAATAATTAATGAAAAGAGGGTTCCTTAAATTCGCTTTTTCAAGCGATTTCATTATTACATTGCTTAATACAAATGACAATTGTTGAAATTGAAACTCCTTTTGAAAATGTAAAGGGTTATTTTTCTGTTTCACTGAAAAATTGGCTTCACTAACAAATAGATTTTTTAACGATGACAATGTCTAAAAAGAAGACTCGAAATTGATTTTTAATCAATCAATTGTTATTTAATTTCATCCTTTTTTTTTAAAAAAATAGATTTTACCTATATATTTTTTTACTGTGCTTTTTCCATATTAAAATGCATTCTTCATTATCATGTCCTGGACAATAGAAAAGCCATAACGTGAAAAAAGCAATTTTGGCCTCTCCTATATGTGACGAACATTTTTGGCTTAGAAACCATACTCACTTTCCATAGTGATATTTTGAGATGTTGTGCTTTAAAGTTGTAAAAATACCTTGAAATGTAGAATATTATCATTTTAATGGTCCTTTATTATGTCCAGACCAAAAATATTCCACGCTAGCACGGGAAGCTGTATTTCTCGTGTGTATCTCGTATCAAAATGCGTTTTTTAATGCATTCCGTATTAAAAATACGTTTTTCCCGTATGCATTCATTCTGCATCTCTGCAGTACCTATTTTGAGCATAATTTTTTATAGTAACGCATAGATTTGTCGAAATAATGTTTAACCGTATTTGCCCTATTATAGTTATAAGAAACACTGTGTTTTTAAACTATTACTATAATAAATATAATATTAAATTAAAAATATGTTTTGATTCAAATTAAATCGAATCGCTTTAGAATTCGGCGCGATTCAATCCGTCTGAGGCTTATTATCACGTTTGCTATTCCTCGTATGCACATGTAATACCATATATAAATTTAAATTAAACAGTGTTAAAAATAGGCCATCAATAATAATTTGTTCGTGTATATTATAGATCGCCAAGTTCTCAGACATATGATATGCTGTAGAAGTTTAAAAGATATTTGCTCATATAATAAGTATGAGCGCATAGCGATTACACTCTTTTTCTTTTCTTTTATTTCGCTTTCGTGGTTTATTTTGGGGGGTTTTTTTTTATAAACAAATTCATTTAGTTCGTTCATTTATTTTGTTTGTCTAAAATAGCCAATCAATCAACTGATGCATGTACATGGCCACGTTTTACAACTTTTAAAAGTGCAAATAAAAGAAATACGAGAATTCGTTAGCTTTTTTCAGAGCCTTCGGTAATTTTTTGCATCCTTCACATTACCTCTACTCAAATTTAGAAAGACTTTAATCATTTATTTTATGTATTTAAAAAGGTTATGGCTGCAATAAAACAATTACTTTCATGATTTAAAATTGTAATGGTAATGTCACGCCAGGAATTTTTAATTTTGGAAAAAAAATCTGGAGGGTGATGGATGGGTTTATCCAATGATGAAATAGAAAATTTTATAAATAATCAAAATAACGAAATCGAAATTTTGATCAATGAATTACCTTTTTTCGCTATTATCAGCAGAAGAATATATTTCAATCGATAATGGGGTGAAAGATAATAAAATGGTAACAGAAGATGAACCTATTTCTTCATTTATTCCAGTTGAAGAAGAAACTGGCAAAAGTGGTACATTAACGTCTAAAACTCCTACAGTTTCAATTAATACTGCTACTGATGTCTTTGAAATAGTGTACAATTTTCTTCAACAAGGTGATATTGAAATATATCACAACGAATATAAAGCTTTTAAATCATTAAAAAGAAAATTGGGATATTAAGAATTAAAAACCAAACACAAAATAGCATCACATCATTTTTCAAATAAATAATTTCCACACATTATTTTATTTTATTACTTTTCATTTAAATTGGTGGGCGATTTTTTAAATTCTAATATTGTATCAGAGTTTAAAGGCAAAATTAATATAGAGGATTTTTTAAATTGAGCTTGTTAGAATATGAATTACTGGTGGTTATTTGTTACGTACCAGTAATGTGTTGTTTTATGTATTATTGCCTATTTGGTTATAATATTTTCACAATTGATTTTTTTAAAGTTTAATAGTAAATTGAAAAATTTTCGAATCCTTGTTTTTATATCTTCTTATGTAAATGCAATAAATGATAATAATATTACTGATGAAAATACAAATGATGTGAATTAGTATTTATTAAGGTTCTGAACGGTTTGGCTCAAGCTGTAAATTTTCGGTTCGGTTTTCAATTCAGAAAAAAAAATAATTTGTGAATTTCTTATTTGGATTATCGTTATCCTTAATCAGGTACAGTGAATTGACATCTTATGCATATCCTTTTTCTTGGTGATTCCTCTTCATCGTAACTATAATCCACACTAAATGGTGTTTGTGAAGGAGAAGAAGATAGTGATCGTGGTGTTTGTAGGGAAGGAAGCAATGGTGATGTCGATGTCTATAAATATAAGTAAAAAAAGTTAAATACTATAATAATAATTTTTAGTTAATATTTAAGTTTACACTTACAGATTTGCGTTTACGATGTTTCTTTTTTGTTAGATGTCCATAATTGTAATTAATATATTTTTTGTCACAAAGGTTATATTCTCGTGCTAAAAGGTGATGATGTTTTTCTTTTCTGGGTCGTCATTAATAATAATAATAATAATAATTAATAATAGTATAAGTCTATATTATTAATTATAACAAGAAATTTCGAATTTTTAATTTTAACTCGTGCAACGAATATTAAATGGTAACGATTTGATTTTTTTCAAACACAAGGTGAGATCATGTGTGCTTATTTACCTTGATTTAACGCCAATCTAATAAAAACAAAGATACATATTGAATCTGCTTTTTATTATCAGGTCAAGGGATTATAATGCAACATGACAACCATTAATTAACTGCATTTCATAGAGAAAACAAAGATAAAAGCCATTATTATTATAAAGTTGTTGAATTACATTGATGACTAAATGTTGAACCCTGAAATTGCTGATAGTATAAATGTCGGTATTTGATTTTGCTGCAGTATGCTTCCCACATAATTAATCATCGTTTATATACAAAGTTCTATTTCTGGAAAGGTTTATTATTGCTAGTAAATGGCACACAAATAATTGATCGTTTATGGAAATATGGAGAATGTTGATTTACATCTTTAACACGAAAATCTTTTTCGTGTGATGTTTTTCAAATGATAAAGCTTGATTTGGTATGTAAACAATTCATTCACGGATTGTTTAATCCACCAAATTTAAAGATGATTTTCGCAACCTAAACTTTAATTTTTGCGGATTAGGATTATCAAAAATGGGGTAAATCGATTGGCTAAATTCATGCAAATAGTGTCACAAATGATGAAAAATAAACCGGGACCTGGACACAAACACAACGGTAGAATTGTTTGTTTACAAATATGTCGAACGCGCGAAATGCTTTTTGGTGCAATGTTTTTCATTGATTTGGACATAATATAAGAAAAAAGTTACATTCAACATTCCTATAAATTAATTCTTATCGCTCATTTATTGAATAATTCATTCGTAGATTGTTTATTATCTATCATACACTGAAACATTAAATGATGTTTTTCGCGATCAAAATTATTCGATCTAAGTTTTCTAGAAGACTTTTTATCTTCTATCTTCTCTTTGGTCTTATCCCTACAGCAATAGAAGGAGTAGAAGAACAAACAATAGATGAAAAGATATCAGTCTTTCCGAATTACAGCCCAGAAAATGGTTTAAAATGTGATGCTGTTGACTTCAACGAATATAAAATATTCGGTACCTTTGGTTCTCAATTAGGGACGTTTATCCCTATTGCATTCCTTCTTTTTACTGTAGCAGTTTACGCCACAAAATCAGTGTTTGGTTATATGAAGACCTGCCTTATTGATAATGATGTTACTATTCTCACGTCTTCTTTGGTGCCCATTCTTTCGTGGTACATTTTCGGTAAACCACTTTGGTATAAGCTACTTGGGGATTTTACAGGAAAATATCATGTCAAAGGTTACGTGCTAGTTAACGTGCTTCAAACAGGATTTCTTAATTATCTCGTTTACTTCATCGTACTTCTAAACTTAATAATATTGACCCTATCTGAGATAAGCTAGCTTAAAATGTTAAAATCAATCTATTATTATTATTTCTTTTCTAGATAATAAGTTTTTTGTTTTATTAATATCATGCAAAGAAAAAAATTTAATAATAATAATAGTGGTTGCATAAATTTTCTTTCTGATTGTACATCACAAAATCATTTACCATATACATATATATATTTTTTTTTTTTAGAAAAGAAAAAATTAATTAGCTTTTTTATAATTATTATACATATTTAATATATTTACACTCCATTTAAAATAATATAATTGATGATTTAAAATAATAACTTTAATTATATTATTTATTCAATCTTATGTTTACTTATTATAAATAAACTATTATATGTTTTTAAACATAATACTAAAAATCAAATATGATAATAATAAATCATAAATTACTAAGTTATAATGCTTCAAAATTTTTTGCCAACCACCAGCAGATTTCTTGTCATAATGGAATTTTTTTGGCTGGAACCATAAATCTGATGTGGCGAGATTTGACTGTTATTTGTATAAAATTTTATTGTGAATTTAATTATTGATCAGAGTAAATTGAAATCACTGCCTTTTAATAAGAATTTGATTCACATGCATGAAATTCAAATTAGCCCAATTTTAGATGTATGAAATTCTTTATTCACTAATATTATCTTGGGGATTACTATTACTTATGTACTACTTACTAATAGTAGTCATGTGGCATGTCACATCAATTGATTTTCTATAATTACCCCAAGACCAGAATGTTTATTAAGAGTTGACAAATAAAAAACAATTACATTCCAAATAGCGTTGTGTTGTGAACAATTGTTTGTTTGAGTGAAAGAATAAGTCCAAACTTGTTAGAAATATTTATACATTAAATCTCATATTCCTCTTTCAATTAGAATTGCATATTCCCGAATGATTGGAATTACATTATAATGATGATGATGATGATAGTGGAGCAGTGTAACATTCCGCAAAGTGAGATGAAATATATAAATTGTATTTAATATGCATCTTTATCATAAACAAATAAAGAAAGAGTCTATATATTAATAGTAATATTATTATTGTGTGCTTAAATTATCAAGTTCATTTTTTGCCCATCCAGGAATACCATATTTTAATTTTGGGATGAGTGTTTCACGGGTCTGATTCATTTCGTCGACAATCATTTCATCGACAATCATTTCGCCGAAAGTTTGTTTCATCGAAAGTTCATTTCGTCGAAAATTATTTCGTCGACGAAATGAACTTTCGACAATCACTTCATCGACAATTATTTCATCATCGACAATCATTTCGTCAAAAGTTCATTTCGTCGAAAAGTTCATTTTGTCGACAATCATTTCGTCGAAAGTTCATTTCGTCGACAGTTTATTTCGTCGACAGTTCATTTCTACAACAATTCATG